TGCCCCAGAAGTGTTGCTGCGGCTGTGGTCCCGCCTTCGGCTGTTCATGAGGGGGTCCCAGGTTGCTCAGCGGTGGCAGAGCAGTTGTGCGGGAGTCTGAACTTTGACGTGCTGGTCTGCCTGCGGGGTCGGGTTTGGCTTCGGCGTCTGTTTGGTTCCTTCGGAGACTCCCCTTCCACCTCTCTTGCAATCCTTGGCTTCGTTCCTCCAAGGATCTTGTGTTGGTGCTGCATCACCAGCTTCCTCTTTGGGGTATTGGGGTTCCGTGCCTTGGCACCTCCCCGAGCCTTCGCTCGATGTGTTCATGGACAGACCATCTCTCGGCTGGGGCTTTGTCACCAGTGCTCACCAGGTCGACTGGGGATGGTGGGGGTATGTCCGTCTGTCGGGCTCACAGCACGGTTCGGGAGTTCGTGGCTGTCTGGTTTGCGCTTCGGAAGGTTTGGTTCACTCGGTGCTCTACCATTCAGCTCCATTCGAACTGTTCTCTGGCGGTTCTTTGCCGGAACCACGGGGTTTCTCTTAAGTGTTGACCTTTGGGGTTGGTTCCTTAGAGTGGCTCGTTTGCTGGACTCTCGGGGTTTGGCTAACCGTGAGGTTCATGTCCGGGTTGTGTCCTGCGTCCTGGTGGACAGCTGTCTCGGTTCATTCCTCTGTTCGCATATTGGCTAGTCGTCGCGACTCGTTCATTGGCTCTGCCGGACGTATGGACTCCTGGCCATGGACGTCTTCGAGTTGGCGTGGTCTAGGTGTCACCCATTTTATGTGGCGCTCTTACCCTCCTGCAGAGGCGTTCACGGTGGATGCTTTTCGGCAGGACTGGTCGAGGTGGGGGTACCTGTTCCTCTTCTCCCGTTCCAGCTGTTTCTTATGGATCTGGCTCGGTTGGAGCCCATTCCCGTGAGAGTAGTCCTTATGGTTCCTTGGTGGCCGGCCCAGCTTTATTTTCAGACGCTGCTTGATAGGTGTCCGAACCCGGGGCGTTTTCCCGCAGCTCCGCCTCTTTCGGCTGGTCGGATCGGTCCTGTACGTGACTGCTTCAGCCTTCTCCTCAGCTCTTCGTGTCTGGTATTTTGACGCGGGTATCACCATCTCTGTAGTGATCAGGTGTCTTTGTTGACGGTGTCCCACCTGCGAGCTTCGTCTCGGCGACAGTATGATGTTCCCGGTGTTTCTATGCACTTTTTCTTGCTCTTCGTAGGTTGTCTTCTCTTTCACATTGGGTTGTCTTGTCCTTTCTTGGGTTTTCAGGACTACAGTTAATTGATGTTTCTTACTGTCGCCTCATTTTGTGAGGCGCTGGCGGGGCCGCTCCGGCCTGCGTTCAGGGGAGCCGCTCCGGCTTGCTTTTGGGGTGGACGTCACATCTGCCCCCGTTTCGTACGCTTTCTCGTGTTTTGTTTCACCTCCCGCCTGCTCATGCGTCGCCTGAGCCGTACTGGTCCTTGATCAGGGTACCTTATCTTCTCCTCAGTTTGTGGTAGCCCCTTCGGTTCAGGTTTCTGCTCTTTGGTACTGGTGGTAGGTTTGTACGTTGGCAGCCTTTCTCCGTCCTGGCGACGGTCGAGACGGCTGTTTTCCGGAGGGGTTCTTGGGTTATTGATGCTTGATTGGTTTGGCCGGGGGTGCGTCCTGTGTTGTCCGGTTACACTTTTTGCCGTTACCTGTGTACCGTGTCTGGGGATGCGCTTTTGGTTGATCCGGTTCCCTCGTTCTCTGTTTCAGGGCTTGGGTCTCCCAGATCGTCCGCAGAGTTTTTAAGTCTTCCAGCCTGCGGTCTGTCCTTGCGCCCGTGCTGTTCGGACGTTCGCAGCTTTTGTTGCTGTGTTGGTGATGTCTAGGGTTATTTCGGGTGGAGGGATTTGAGGGTCACACAGGTTCTTGGCCGCCCATTCTTTATGCACATCTGCTCCTTTGCGTTCTTGTTCCCTTGGGTTGCAGGTTGCAGCCTGTTGTCTCGGCTTAGCGTTGCGGAGTTTGTGGCGGCCGCCTCCCGGGTTAGCCCTTTCTTTTCCTTCTCTTTGGGTATAAAACTCTAGGGAGCCGTTGGGGCTCCCCACAGAAAACCAGCGTTGAATGTAATGTAATGAAACGCCATTTTCTGGGTGAGCCCCGGAGGCTCCCTGGCAACCCTCCCAACCCTCCCTCCCACCGGTCGGCGGGTTTTCGCGTTGATTGAAGCTTCCGAACTGATGCTAGGCAGTTGGCACGGTAGGTCCGGGGCTCCCCCACTCAAGGCGGGGAGGGCTGCGCGGACGATCGGCGCGGCAGTAAAGTGTGATGTTTGCTTGTTTGCTTGTTTCCTTGGGATTGTAGGAGTTTCTACCTCTCTGTTCGTTTTTTTGTTTTAGTTTTTTACCATGTGGGGTTTGTTTTGTTATGCCTACCTTTCTGGGTGCCTGACCCCGGTAGATGGTAGATAAGGAAAACCCCAACCACAAGGGGGTTTTCCAGAGCCATTGCTCCCTGAAACCTCTCTGAAGGGGCCAGGTTCTGGCGCTGGTCCCTGTTAGGTCTGAACTCCTTAGCTAATGTCCCGGTCTAATATAACATACATTAGCCCGATAAGCTCCAGGGAGCTTCCAGGGAGCCTCCAGGGCTCACCCAGAAAATGGCGTTTCATTACATTCAACGCTGGTTTTTTGCTCGGTGTCTGAACTCGGGGGTCTTCCCTCGGCGTTACCTCTTTCAGCATATCCGACTGGTCCATTACGAGGCTGGTTCGATCTTCTTCTCGAGTCTTTGCGTCTGGTCTTTCAAATTTGATTCTGTTACTACTTGTATGATGAGCAGGTGGCTTTTGTTGATGGTGTTCCACCTGCATGCTCCGTGTCGGAGTAGCAGTATAAAATTTCCTTGTGGTCCTTCCGTTATTTCTTGTCCCTTCGTTGGTTTATTTCGGTCTGTGTTCAGGTTGTTTTGTCCTTCTTTTCATGGTTGTTGTAGGACAGTTATCTTGTGCTGAATAATGTCGCCTCGTATCGTGCAGCGTTGGCGGAGCTGCTGCAGCTTGCGTTTATCATTGATATTTTTTCTGAACCGGTCCACAAGCTGTCTCAAACGTTGTTTCACCTCCGGCCTACTCATGCCCTGCTTGAGCCATCCTGGTCCTTGGATCGGGTGTTCTCTGTTCTCTCTTTTCCTCGGTTTGTGGTGGCCCATTCAGTTCAGGATTGTTTCTCAATGGCACTTTTCTTGTTGTCGACCCTACCTTCTGTGGATAGGGTCGGGGAGCTTCATACTCTCCTCGGGCACAGGGGTTTCTGGTTGTTTTGGTCCTGGTGGTAGGTTTGTTTGTTTGCAGCTCCTTTTCTGGCGAGGAATGAGACTGATGCTTTCCGGTGGGGTCCTTGGCTGATTTATAATTGCTGGGGTTTTATATAGTTCGTTCGTATTTTTATAGGTTTTATATAGGATTTATAGTTTGGCCGGGGTTGCATCATGTGTTGTGTCCGGTTGTGGTTCTGCGCCATTACCTGCTCGCCACGACCTCTGTGGCTGGGGACACGGTTTTGGTTGACCTGGTGTCTTTTCTTCCCTGTTCCAGGGTTCGGGTCTCCCAGGTCATCCACAGGGTTATTCCAGCCAACCTGTGGTCTCTCCACGTATGGGAGCCGGTCGGCCGAGCGGACAGCATGCTGGACTTGTGATCCTGTGGTTCTGGGTTCGATCCCAGGCACCAGCGAGAAACAATGGGCAGAGTTTCTTTCACCCTATGCCCCTGTTACCTAGCAGTAAAATAGGTACCTGAGTGTTAGTCAGCTGTCACGGGCTGCTTCCTGGGGGTGGAGGCCTGGTCGAGGACCGGGCTGCGGGGACACTAAAAAAAAGCCCCGAAATCATCTCAAGATAACCTCAAGATAACCTCAAAATCCACAACGTTCGTAAGTTTAATGTGCTGGCTGCCATCTTCAGTAACATGTCTTGAGCTGACTTTTGGGCACAGGGATTTTGGAGATTGAGCAGGGTCCTGGCTGCTCGCTACCTTGTCAGTGTTCTTGGGTCTAGTCGGATCTGTGTCGTGTTGGGTCAGTGGTTGCAGCCAGTTGTGTCAACTTTGTGATTAGGAGCGAATGCCGACTGCCTCCAGTAAGCCGAAGGGGCTTCCCCCAGAAAACCAACATTGAATGTAATTAAACGCCATTTTCTGGGTTTTCATTTTCTGAGACCCGGAGGCTCCCCGGCATCCTTCCCTTCTTCCCGTCGGTGTTTTTTTTTTTTTAAGATTTTTGACATCCAGCCTCAGAATTGCAGAGTGGATTGCCAGGGTGGGGGTCTGGGGCTCCCCCTTCCCTCTCCTGGGGGAGGGGGGGGAGCCTCGCAGACGACGGCGTGGTGACGTCATGCTCGTTTGCTCATTTTTATTTGGGGGAGTTCTGTCCACTAATTCGGTTTTCAGTAGCAAATTCTTAACCAGAATAGGGGTTTGTTTTGGGGCACTTTCCTTTCTGGGTGCCTGACCCAGTCGATGGTGGACATAGAATGCTTCCAACCACACGAGGGGTTTTTATAGTGCATTGCTCCTCGTGCCTCTACGAAGGGGCTAGGTTCTGGCTCGTGGTCCTCGGTAAGCCTTAGAACTCCATTCGCTTGACTGATGCCAGGGGTCTTCCACATTCATATCAGCCCGGTTAGCTCTGGCGAAGCCTCCGGGTCTCGCCCAGAAAATGGCATTTCATTACATTCAATGCTGGATTTTCATGGGGGTGGGGGGGGGGGGAAGGTATTGATGGTATTGAGTCAAATGGGAAAAAGCATAGTGATGGAGATATTTTAATAATTCTTATGGATCCATTGATTATATTAGCATCATTTGCTCTGTATAGTAATATTTCAGAAAAAGCTAGAACTTAGAACATTTGAGAAATTATCTCGGCTGCACAAGACCAATTTTACAATGCTCCTTGACTATTGTCATATACATTATATTATAAACTGGAGGTGTATTTCAGTGTAAATAATTATATTTTCAAATTTTAATGAGCTTTTTCTGTTTGCAGATTGAGACCCCGTCAGTAAAGCCTCTTCTTAGGAATCTTCCACTCCTTCCTGATGATGAAGCTCTTTCTCATATCAATCAAGAGATCACAGAGCACCAATTACAAGTTGTATGGTGAGAACCTGATATTAAAACAGTACAATCCTACTAATATCCATTAACTTTCATGCTTATAATTGCCTGTGGGAGACTTGATTTGCCCTGTAATAATACAAAATCCTTAAGATTCTTTGTAGACAACATTTTCTGTGGGGAGCTCCTCCGGCTCCATGGAGCTATCAAACTGATATATGATATATTAGTCTGGGACATCAGTCAATGGAGTTCAGCCTACCAGGGACCACGAGCCAGAACCTAGCCCCCCTCAGAGATGCACAGAGAGCAGTGGCCTATAGAAATCCCCGTGTGTTTGGGAGCATTCCATGTTTGTCATCGACCAGGGTTAGGCACCTGGATAGGTAGGCATAACAAAACAGACCCCACTTGATATGAAATTGCAACCAAAGATCAAACAGAGAAGCAGAACTCCCCAAAACCTGAAGAAACAAGCAAATGTCATTCACCGCCGCCACACCCCTTGTCTGCACAGACCGCCCCCCTCCCCAGAAGGAGAAGGGGGTAGCTCCGGACCCCCTGCACCGGCTACTCACTCTTCAGTTCGTTGGATGATGCGATCTGGGGCTGTTGAAAAATCTGGCCTTGATTTCTTGGCAGTATTTGGTCCTTCATGATGTTGCCTGCTGTTTGTGGTGTGGTGGCAGGAGTAACTACAGTGTACTGGGGCTGCATGCGCTTAGGGCTACCTTCCTTAGGTGCCTTGTAAGTACTACCCTTGGGTTCTAGGATTACCTTCCTTAGAGTCTTCAAGATTCTACTTCCAGAGGAGTTCTTGCTGCTCAGCATTTACCTCACTCTTGGGACCAGCTGGGGTTTTGCAGCCTTTGTTTGGCCTTGATTAGGAAATGGTGTTGTTGCTGGTTGGGGTGGAAGGTGCTGTGCTGCCTGTTTACCTACCCAGCGGCTGTGTTCCTGTTCCTTCTGGTAGCGTTGTACTTTTGTGGGGGGTTTTCTTTTATTTTTGTTTTCCTTGCCTGGAGGGGGTCTGCCTTGTTTGGCTATTAGTCCACATAGGGTATATTGGTGGCCCTCCTCTAGGCCCCGTACTTATACATATATTGGTGGCCCTCCTCTAGGCCCCGTACTTATACATATCCCAGGGGTCCAGTTCTTAGCTCATCCCCCAACCCGTCCACTTAAAAATAACGTCACTTTTGGCTCGTATGCGCGCTATGGCCAAATTTGGACGTAATTTTAAATGAAATCGACTCACAAAAGTGACGTACTGTTCCGTTTTCTGTTTGAGTCGTCCGGCTTATTCGGCAAGCTTAGAAGAGGAAACTTATCATTAACGTTTTTCATACCGTTTTGAAACTTTATGAAAATTTCCTGCCCACCTAACCTATCAGAGGACCCTTAACTTACTGTTGTTGAAAAAAAAAATCCCAAATTTATTTTCATTTATTTTTCATTTTCAAATTACGTCCATATTCGGCCATACGGGCAAACGGCCAAAAGCGACGTTCTTCTTAAGAGGACAGGTTGCATCCCCACCTCTGTTAGCTTTTGGGTTTAACTGGCTAGCAGTACCTTGCCTGGGCTTCCCGTAGACGACATCCCTACAGTCCCTGGAAACCCCCGTCGGGGCTCAGTTGACCGATGGATGTGCCCTCTGAGTTCCACCTTGCCTTGTGCAAGTTTGAGGGTTGTTCTGTGCCCATGTCTCAGGGTGACAGTCACCTAATATCACCTTCTGCACCCTAGGTGCAGTACCTGGCACCTAGGGGCACGGAGTACTGCACAGCTAATTTTTACCTATTGTAGTGGCTGGCTCTGCTTCGCTTGGGTACATTGTCCTCTTGTGGGGTTTTTCGTTTGTTTTTGTTTTTCTGCCTGGGGGGAGGTCTGTCTTTGGTTGGTTGCCCCTATCTATACTTTTGGGTTTTATCCAGACTTCTCCATGTTCTTTGTGGTACCCCCTTGCTTGGCCCCCGTGAGTGGACCAAGGGGGGGGGGTCACGGGGGTTCAGCTTTAGAAGTTTGTTTGGTGGTTTTGGGCACTGGTTCACAGTACCCTGCCTGGGATTTCTTAGCATGATACCAAGGCCAAGGGCCCTGGGAAAACCCCACGGAGGCTCCGTGGTCTGATATGGATGCGACCCTTTGAGTCCCCTCTTGCTTCGTGCGAGGTTGATGGTTGCTCTGTCCCTTTATCTCAGGATAACAATCACCGTTTGTGCCTCTGCTATGCTGCCTGACGGGTCGGTGATTCTTTTGACTCGGAGTCGTGCGACGTTTATTCCTTGTACGTGCTCCAGATCACCCAAGCTACTGAACATGATATGAGGGTGCAGGCATCAGAGGTGTTCCATGCTTGGTTTAGGTTGCTGCAACGCGACAGGTTCGTTGCTTCCTCGGATACCCCGAGCCCCGTTTTGGTTATAGGGACCCGGACTTGGGGGGTGGGAGTCGCTTCAACTTTGGTTCCCCACACCCAGGAAAGTTAGTCACGATTTTTTTCTTGGTAGCGTCTGTCAACTATCGGTCGTGGCTGCACTATAGCTGCCCCTATCCCACACGGGGCATTTAAATTAAGGCACTAGACACTAAAACAGCTATTAATGTATTGCGCTGTTTCGGTTTTGTTACTGAAATGATCTATATATATATTTCGCGGTTTAAGGGTTAAGCAGATCGGTCCAACCCGGTACGAGGCTGGTTCGTCCTTCTTCTTGAGTCTTCGTGTCTGGAATTTCTGACTCGAGTGTATCATTACTTGTATGAGGCACAGGTGGTTTTGTTGTTGGTCTCCCACCTGCGTGCTTCATCTCAGCAGCAGTATGAAGTTGCCTGGTTCCGGTTTTTCCTATCACTGCTTAGGTGTTCTTCGGTCTCTGATAGGGTTGTTTTGTCCTTCATTTCGTGGTTGTTCCAAGACCATCATCTTATGCCGGATACTGTCACCTTGTATCATGCAGCGCTGGCGGAGCCTCTCCAGCTTGCATTTGGTGTCGATGTTACTTCTGTCCTGTTCCACAAGCTGTCTCGTGCGTTGTTTCACTTCCGGCCTGCTCATGCATCTCCTGAGCTGTCCTGGTCCTTAGATCAGGTGCTCTCTTTTTTCTGTTCTCCTACGTTTGTTGTGGCTCCTTTGGTTCAGGATTGTTTTCCTAAGACTTTTTCTAAGGATTGTTTTTTCTAAGATTGTTTTTCTTTCCTTTTCTTTGTTTTTTTCCTGTTGGTGTTGGCCTCTGGGGGTCGTGTCGAGGAACTTCATGCTCTCCTCTGGCACAGGGGTTTCTGCTCCTGTGGTCCTGGTGGTAGGTTTGTTAGGTTGCAGCCGTCTCCTTTTCTGGTGAAGAATGAGACTGCTGCTTTCCGGAAGGGTTCTTGGGTTGTTGATGCTTGATTGGTCAGGCCAAGACTGCATCATGTATTGTCCAAATGCGGCTCTCTGACGTTATTTGCGCGCTATGGCTTCGGTGGCCGGGGATGCCCTCTAGGTTGACCCAGTTTTCCTCCTTCCCTGTTCCCAGGCTTGGGTCTCTCAGGTTGTCCACAGGGTTATTAAGTCTAGCCAGCCTGCGGTCTATACCCATGCCCACGACGTTCGTAAGTTTGCTGATTTGGCTGCTGTCTTTGGCAACATGTCTTGGGTCGACATTTGGGCGCGTGGTTTGGAGGTCGAACAGGGTCCTGGCCACTTGCTACCTTGTCAGTGTCCCAGGACCTGGTAGGGCCTGCGATGCATTGGGTCAGCGGTTGCAGCCAGTTGTCTTGACTTTGCGTTCAGGTGTGAGGACTGACCGTCTCCCGGCTAAGTCCCTGTGCTTTTCCTTGTCTTTGGGTAGTTACTGTATCTCCGGGGAGCTGACAGGGCATTCCCCAAAAAACCAGCGTTGAATGTAATGAAACGCCATTTTCTGGGTTAGACCTGGAGGCTCCTCGGCATCCTCCCCTCCCTCCGGTCGGCCTTGTTTTCGCGTGTTTTTTACATCCAGCCTAAGAACTGTCGGTTGGATCGCCAGCGTGAAGGTCTGGGGCTCCCCCCTCCCCCTCCTGGGGAGGGGTGGGGGTTGTGCAGACAGCGGAGCTGCAACATGATGACGTCATGCTCGTTTGCTAATTTTCATTCGGAGTTCTATCCACTCGTTCAGCTTTCGGTAGTAATATTTTCACTAGAATAGGAGTTTGTTTGGGGCACCTACCTCTCTGGGTGCCAGACTCGGTCAATGGCAAACATAGAAAGCTTCCATCCACACAGGTTTACATAGGCCATTGCTCCTTGGGCCTCTCTGATGGGGCCAGGTTCTGGCTAGTAGTACCCAGTAGGCAAGAACTCCATGTACTTTGATGCCAGAAAGCAAATAATTACATATCAGCCTGAATAGCTCTGGGAAGCCTCCGGGTCTCACCCAGAGACTGGTGTTTCATTACATTCAGCGCTTGTTTTTGTCACTGAGGTTTGGGGTACTGGTGGCATCCTATTAAAAACTATTTGCCAGGCCACCCAGCCAAACTATTTGGCTGCCCCATTCGAGTTTGAGATGGAGGCATTTGAGCCCATTCCTCCTGCCAGGGTTATCTCGAGGTTATCTTGAGATGATTTCGGGGCATTTTTTTTTTAGTGTCCCCGCGGCCCGGTCCTCGACCAGGCCTCCACCCCCAGGAAGCAGCCCGTGACAGCTGACTAACACCCAGGTACCTATTTTACTGCTAGGTAACAGGGGCATAGGGTGAAAGAAACTCTGCCCATTGTTTTTCGCCGGCGCCTGGGATCGAACCCAGGACCACAGGATCACAAGTTCAGCGTGTTGTCCGCTTGGCCGACCGGCTCCCTTCTTCTTCCAGGGCTTCTGGTTCTTACCAGCAGACCCCCGTCTTTGCTGCCTTTTCCTTGGACTCTGCCTTTTCTTCAGGGGTACAAGGTGTGGAGGACGGCTCTGCCCCAGGATCTCGTTTGGAGGCTCCTGGGGCTGGGGAGGAGTTAACCTGGGGAGGGGATGGCGGGGCTTGGGCCTCCTTTGATCCCGCTTGGGTGTTAGTTCCCTCTATGTGAGGTTTGTTGTTGCACAGGGAGGGGGTTTTCTTACCCCCCTTACCTGTATGAGTATGCTTTGGGGTCAGCTCCTCCTCGGGTTCGGTTCTGGGTTCCCTTGGGTTCCTCAGTTTCTTCCTGCCAGAGGTTTTCTGCTTCTCGCATCCCACCTAAGGAGGTGCAGGAGGCTCTTGTGGCCTACCTCCTGCATGACCTGGATTTTACTACTTTGATGGATCTGTCCTTGTTTGAGTACAGTTCTTCTTCAGCCGTATTAGGTGCTTTATGAGGTTCTGGAGTCAGCCCTGCACCTAGCCGACCCGGGCCGGGAAGGGGGGGGGACCAAAACTTTGTCAAACTTGGTTTGACGAAGTTTTGGTTGTTTCTTTTTTTTGTGGGGGGGTAGGTTCTTTGACATTTTGGGGGCTGAGGTTTCGTATTTAAATCATGCAGCAGTCTGTTTTTATTCAATGTTTCTGGGTGCTTCCCTGGTGGTGGCAAAGATGATAAACTTTAAATATAGAGTTTTCATTGGCCATCGCTCTCTTCGCCTCTTTGAGGGGGCCAGGTTCTGGCTCGTGGTCCCCGATAAACAAAAAGATTTCTGCAACTGATGACTCCAAGTAGTATAGCACTTAGTAAAGTGTGATAGGTTCAGGGAGCCAACAGGGCACCTCACAGAAAATCTTTCATTACATACAATACTTGATTTATTTATTGTTAAATGATAGTGTGCATAGTTGCTAGTATTAGGGTGATAATTATTTCTTAATAAACTTATTGCACATCGAGTATCACCCTTTTCTCATTGTGGAAGTTACTGCAAGAGTTTTCCTAATTTTATAAGATTTAAATTTTTTTACAAATAAAGCATTTGTAGTAGTTATTGGGTATGACTTTAAATTTAGTAATTTGAACTTGGTGGTGTGCAAGAATTCATGTTGTGATGTTTGGTGAGATGGTCAGCTTTTCTTAGCAATGTTTATACAAGTGCAGTGCAAAATAAGTATGATAGTTACTGTATGATAATGGTCTTCTCATACAGTGGCAGCAAAGAAGAAGTTATTGAAGCACTCTCCTCTGTGCGTAGAGGTTTAAGTCACGAGAGCCTCGATGTGCGATTGAATGCTTTGACTCGTCTCAGGCATACATTGCAGCATAATCAAGATGCTGTCCATCACTTGACAACAGATACCGATGAAGTACATCCAACCGTATCAGAGCTTTTTAGTGTTCTTTTAG